TTTTAAAATATTTTTTTTTGAAACATTGTTAATTCAATTGTAATTTCTTTCTGTATATAGAACAATGTATATAGTAGATAACATACGTTTATACAATATAATTATTAATTCTAAAGGATATATGATTAGACAAAGTTTGTAGTTCTTTTCTGACTAACCAAATAAATAATTTAATTTATTAAATTAAATAATATAATTTGTTATGAGAATAGGGTTTAGAATCATTAGAGCATTCTACTTGATTTAGGAATATATTTAATAGTTATCACATGTTATAGAACAACGAACGTTGTACCTTCATAAGCGTACTGTACTCGACTTTGACGCTTTGTAGTTTAGCTAAGTCTGTACAATCCATACAGTACATTTAAAAAAAAATTAATACCTCCAAATGTTCAGTTTCTAAACATTATAAAAAAATCATTTAAATTATAGTTCATTTTAATTTTAATTAATTTTATGTCAGAAAACAACTTTATATATTAATTAAATTTCAAGGAAATTAGTGATTATTTTCAAAAAAAATAATTATAATTTTAAATGAAGTTATGTAAATTCATTATTTCTTGTTTTTGAATACATTAAAATTTTTTGTATTCATCTTAAATATTTTTTCAACTTTCTTGCTTTATAAAAATCAAATGTTACTCATACGCACCGAACATGAGATTGGAAGCGTGCCACTTCAACATTTACATTTGTAACATTTATGACATTTTCCTATGAATCAGTTGGATTTTCCTCGTACATTATAAATTCTAACCACCAATGTAGTTATAGTTTAACTTTGTATTCTTGAGGTTTCATTTTAAATGAAATAGTATCAATGTCCTTTACAGTGAATACCTTTTGCGTGACGGATATTATTGAACGGCTTTTCGATTTGTGTTCATACCATTTTCTTTCTATTTTATCTTGAAACTTGAATTGAACTCTTATTTATATTTATTTCTAAATTTCATTAATATTTAAAATTTATAATTTTAATTTACACAAAACTGTTAAAAATAAGTTTTAGTGGCTGTGGGTATGTATATAAACTATAATAAACTCTTTATGACTCTGGATAATTACACATATAAAAAATGTCTCCAGTTTCATAACAAAACAATTTCAATACTTAAACATCTTCGGGACATACTTAACTTCAAGTTTCTATTTCTAGGATCGTTGTTTAAATAACACCATAATAAAAACTAATTATCTTTTCATACTTAGTACGAAATATTAGAACAGTAGATGCTCCATTGAATTATTTTTTATTAAGTGAGTTTCTTTAAAAGTCATTTATGTGAAATATTAGTTAATTAAATGATTACGTCTCAAAAGACAACCTGTGTACACTTCTTAAAGAATGCATTAGTTGAAATGTCAGGTTTATATATTTTTTAACCATCATTTGTTATTAAATTTCTATTAATTAGGAATTTAATAAGATTTTATCACCCTGAGAGGATAAGGAAGATTATCTACCGCATGATATGTTATCTGCTATACAGTTTGCATTAAGTTAGCTTTGTGATTCTGTCTCCACTTACGCGTAATATACAGAGCCTTAGTTTTTTCATTATTGATTTTTATTTTCCATTTCTGGAAATACTCCAGATTTGCTCATTTGATTTAAGAATGGCAGTTAACTATTAAAATAGATATAAATAGTATTTGAGTAAACAACTAATCGACTTTTACATTTTATAGGTACAGCTTCAAGTATATTACAGTAATTAATAGTTGATTTGTTTTTATATATCACATAAGAAGGTACCCCCTTAAACTTGATTATAAGTATTACAGTCGTCTGTAAAATTATTAAAAGCGTAATATTGTCTACTATTTCATGATTCTGAAAAAAGAGTTACTTTGTCAAATTTATTATAAAGCAAACAGTCGTCTAAAGGACTTTTAAAAATCAATCTGTGATCTACTATTTATGAAAATTAGAAAAAGTGAGAATATCATCAACATTATTTTAAAACCTATAGTTGTTTATAAAGTTATTTACAAGACTATCTGCATAATATCGTCTAATGTTTTATGGATCTTAATTGATGCTCAAGAGAGTAGAAAGAGGCATTTATTTGCATTGTAGACAAAGATTGAAGAAAAACATAGAACATAGAATATATGCTAGTTTGAAAAAATTAGGATACGCATTCATGCCACTTGTGGCATTGTGACATTTATATCACTTCTCTAATTTTTAATCGACAAATCTGAAATCTTTAACATATTATAACCAATATAACATATTGGTTCTTTACATTTTAAATTAATCACAAAACATTTATCTTTTGTTTTGCTTTAGTGATTTTGTTTTCTATTTAAACTTTTAGTTATTTCATATCGTTCTATTACAATATTTATTTTAATATTATTTTAAATTTTAAACTTAAATAGTTTTTAAACTATTTCACACAATTACTTCCCCAATAACTCTTACATCATTCTCCACGAGAATAGATATAAACAACAGTAAAGAAATGTAAAATACAATTACCCAAAAATCCCACATAATCACTTCAAAGTTGAGAAGACTTTAATATTTTCAATCATTTTAATTTTGACATTCGAACTTTGCCCTGCATTAAAAATCCTTCAACCCCACAGAAAAAAAATTATTGCTTAATTGTGTGATTGATGTGTCATTAAATATTTAATCCAGAATTCTTGATAGAAGGATATTTAATCTCATTACTTGGCTGCAATTATAACTGTGCATTTATTGCACGCAAAAATTAAGTGTACGAAGAATAGTCTGAACGCATTATCACACATCGTCAACACTTAAAAAGATTTAATAAGGTACTTAGTGTCCTTCAACGACTGAAATGAAAGCAAGAAGCCAGATGAAGGAAGGAAACTGTGGAGTTTTGCACACATTCACGTTTTACGTACAACACATAAAAACGACAAGAAGGCTAAGTAAATAAAATTCCTCATATAAATAAATAGGCTCTGGGAAAACTCATATCAGTAGCGGATGAACATTATCAAGGGCCTGAAATGAAAAGTTTTATTTGAATTTTATTTAAAATTTTATCAAAATATATGATATGAACTTAGAATAACTATCGAACACGGTAATCAGTGAATAAAACTAAACAGTACAGTATCGTAGTGTAGTGTTCATGAATACAACCACAGTACACTAAAAATGGAAGTGTACGAAACACTAAAATAGTGTACAGATGTAAAATGTCTTTTATTAAATTTTTAGTGTTCGCGTTTTGTTTTTGTGCTGGGGGTAGTGATCTTTTTAACGATCTTTTTACGAAGGTAGTCAACTTTTTAGCGATCATTTCACAATTATATATTAGTGTAGTGTATTTTTAGTGTCTATCGATGTATTTGTTTGTATTTATAAATAAAGATACAGTTTTTATTTTAACATTACATTTTTTTTATGTGTTTTGAACTTTATTTAGTGTACTGTTCGTTTACAGTTTTTTAATAAAAATACAAAACAGTACACTGTGTTTGATAAGTGTTCGGTACTTGGGACTGTTACTCTATACAAAATCGTTCTAAAGAACTTCGCGCTCGTGAACAATTGAAGAAGGCCACATTCTTATGTTTTTTCCTTGTATATGAATCCTTAGTACAGGTAACAATTTTAACTAAAAAGTAATACAGATTGACAGGAAAGATATTTGAAAAATAAATATTAAAAAGTAGAGGGGAGTGTGATTAAGGTGGCAGATTGTTGAAACTAGCGCTGGTTTGGTGAAGTTGTAACCTCAACTGAGTGCAGTCGTAAATCAATAAAAATCAAGTTTAAGTATCCATAGAGCCCAGTTAACAGGTAGACGATGGTAGGTAAGAAGATTACTTTAAGTATCTACGTTCCTAAAAGTATAGGATTCATGAAAGATAGAATCTTTTGTGAAAATGTTAGTTGCACATTACTTAAAATTATTCTTAAGCTACTATATTCATTATTATTTAAATTTCATTCTACACAAATAAATTATATGAAATTTATTATATGATTATATGAAATCCGCCACTGATTTTTCTGGAGGAAAAGTAATATTTAGTTTCGTATCTGTCCCTAGTTTATTTATTTTATGTCAATTCAATTCGTGCTGTCAGGTACTTCGTGCCCTTATGAAGTACTGAATCAAAAGTTACTATGTGTACAACAGTCTCACAATATAAATATATAACAAATGTACATTTTTTCATATTAAACGTAATAGGTTTGTGACGAATATGGTATCAAAAATTAATTCTATTATTGTGACGTATACGGTTTGGTTTCTGTACCAAACCGTATACCAATAATAAAACCGTAGTTGCCAATAATGAGAATAAGATTTGATATAAATGAGAACAAATTTTAATCTACCCTGAATTCGGGTTAAGTAAACTTGCTATTTCAATTAAACGAAGCTGTAAATCAGTTAACCAATAAGAACGCTCATAAAAAGACTCCAGCTATTTTTTTATTTTTATTATATAGTATTTATATAAATAAGTTAAAATAATTTCTACAAATTGCTCATTAGATATTTTCGTGAATTAATTAAAAACTTGTGATTCAGTCAATTTAACCATATTACTTCAAAGTACTTAAATGTTAAATAAGCGAAATTTGATACGCTTTGTAATACGATACATCGATAGTCTAAGAATGAACTTTGAACAAGCCATAGTTTGTCATCATTCCACACAACTATTAATATTGGCTCAACTGATATGAAATTAATTCTGATTACTAATATTAAGCATTTTTGCAAAATTAATTTAAAAGTAAATTATTTTTGAACTGTATTTTTATGATAAAAATTATACTATATTAAAAAATCTAGGACGAAGGACCTAGTAGTCCAGTATTTTTAGTTAACTGTAAAATTTATTTTAATGTAAATAAATAAATATAAAAAAGATTTACTATAGTTAATATTTATTGAAATTGGTTTATTTTAACTAATTAATAATAATTATAATAAATTTAACAATAATAAAAAATAACTATTACTATTTAATAGTTAGCACATTCTTTTAATTTTGATTCCACACTTAATTGATCACAACACAAATACGCTTACAAGATATATATATATATATAAGATACATAAATTAATAAATAGGAAAGTTTGGGTCAACTTTCAAATGCCAAGCATGAAGTCCACCAATAATATCTTTGATATTATGTTCTGGTAATTTATTTTTCATGTGCTCAACTGCTATTTGGGAATCATTTCCACGCCGGCACAACATGTATATTGGTATTTTATCTTCTATTTCTTTCTTAAAACGTTCTAAGAATTTGTTATTTAATACATCCTTTAATGACATATTTTCAGATTTCGGTAAAGAGCATATTTCAAACTCTATAGATGATCGCACATCAATTAATAAATGGGGTTTCTCTATAACGTCAGCATATTCATTTGCGGTTATGCGCAGGTCTTCTGTTAAAATATTTAAGCGCTGCTGTTTGTCTGAGGCATGCATACTACAAAACTCCTCATAGTCCACAAGTTGTGTGATAATTGGATTATTTGAACAGATGCTGCAATCTGAACGTCGACCACGCAGTTTTATATTACGAAAACTAGTGCTAGCCCCATCAAATATAAGTAAACGTCCGCTTAGAACATCACCACCAATAGCGACTTTGATAGCTTCAAGTGCTTGTAATGATCCTATTACACCAGTTACGGCTCCTAGAACGCCCCCATCTCCACAATTGGTTACCGTTTTAGGTGGTGGTGGTACAGGGAATAAGCAACGATAACATGGTCCTGTTTTTCCATAATGGTAAACAGTTAATTGTCCATCCAATTGCAATGCACTCCCAGATACAAGTGGCTTATTTAATAAAACGCATGCATCGTTCAGTAAATAACGTGTTGGTACATTATCAGTGCAATCCAAAATCACATCAAAATTACTCAATAAATCTAAAGCATTTTCACTTGTAATGATCTCAAAAAAGGTTTCTATTGTACAGTTTGAATTCATTTCTTTTAGAGTACGTTGAGCTGAAACGACTTTAGGTAATTGCATGTCCATTTCTGTATGTAACACTTGACGATGAAAATTTGTGCCATCCACGAAATCATAATCAACTAAACCAATTCGGCCACAGCCTGCTGCTACCAAATACTGTGCTGCTGGACATCCCAAACCACCCATTCCAACTATGAGAAATGATGTTTCCTTAAGTTTTTTTTGCCCTTGCACACCAAAACTTGGTAATATTAATTGACGACTGTAACGTAGTATTTCATTATTTGTCAGACTGCTCGCTTCGGCAGTGTGATTTCGCCACTTTTTCTCTCTTAATTGCAATAAAGCGGTTTCTTTTTCACGCAACATTTCACGTATCAAATGAATTTCCAAACTTAATTGCTTTTCATTTTCTTCGTCTTCATTATTACTAGCCATTATTTAAATTATTAATACAAAGCTATATAAAAGTATTAACTCTAACAATGTTTTTCACACACAATCAGCAGCGAAATAATCTGACACTTGACAATGGCTGAGCACACGGTTATGGAAACCAGGTATGTTAAATAATTTGTCCAACCAATAGAGTATATCAGATTAAAATATTTGTTTGTACAAAACCAGTTGATGCCAATATATGTAAATTCTAAATATATGAATAATAAACAAATTTTTAACTTATTATTTTATGTGTTTTTGGGTGGGTTGTGAGTGTACCAAAAAACGCATGCTAGCCTGTATTTGTAAAGCGAGACATTGGCATCACTGTTGCAATCTGTCAAGTGTTATGTTTTGGGAAATAGCAAATCTTGCATATGTGCATATAATGCAAACAAATTACATTTTGTATAAAAATAAATAGTTAATATAAAATTGATAATTAAAAAGAATAAAGAAATTAAGATGAATGGTAAGAATGTTGGAAATTTCAAAAGAAAACATTGAAATTTTACTTTTTTCCCAATTTTTAAATTCTGTGTGAATTTTTTTTATATATGGTTTTAGTCATATGATTGCAATATTTGTTGGAGTTTCCAATATGCACATATGCAAGATTTGCTGTTTATGAAAACAACACATTTGACAGATTGCAACAGTGATGCCAATGTCTCACTTAGCGAATGTACGCCAGCATGAAATTTTTTGCCACACTTGCGAGCACGAAAACACCTATTTTATACTGAAAAAATGATTGTTTTTATAATTTGTATTTACATTTCTTAAGGGCAGTCACATAACCACAATTGTTGTTACTTTTAATGCAAAACGAAGTGAGCTGTGAGTGTCAAATTTTATTTATAAACATTTTTTATACTAAATATGTCAATAAATAGATTTATTTTTAAATTAAAAATTGAAAATCGGTTTCATATAAAAACTGATAAAGATTTTACAAAAAATTTCTTAGATGCTGCATAATCTTAATTTTTTAAATAATGTCAATTTTGCATGACGTTGTATAAGTACTACTAACATTTGATACCTTTTTAAAAAAAGTATTCAAAAAGAAAAAGATAATATATATTTTGCGTGTTTGCAACACTTCATCCATAGCCGCTTCTTTGACAACCAACAACGTCAAGCTTCAATGTTTTAGAGAAATATCTACATTTAATAATTTTTTCTTTTACGTTTTAACACAAAATGGAGGATATAAAAACAAATTTCGAAAAATTAATGGAAAAATTCAATGATAGCATTACGTACAATAGTGCACCAAAAAAACTAAATTTTTCATTACCTGATTCGCCGTTAGAGACAAGTAGTAAATATTTTAATATAAATACGTTTCATAATTATTTTAACAAAATATAAATATATTTTAAAGCTTCACGAAAGCGGAAATTATCTGGTGGAGATACACAATCAGCGAGGAATAGTTCAAATGATGGCTTAAATTCATTTAATTCGTCAGTGGGTACACCCGCAAGTCCTTGGGAGACTAGACGCCTTAGAGCGGATCTAATTGAATCGAGGGCAAGAGTATGTATTTTTAATTCTTAAACGAATTTTTAATAATAAATTATTATTTAGGTGTCAAAATTAAAGCAAGAAATTGATAAACAACACAAAGTTCGCGCCGAACTCGAAGCAATGTATCAAATACAGGTTAAAGACTTGCAAAAACAAATAGATTTTTCCGCAAATAAAATACAGGATGCAGAAACGCATCTACAGACGGTACGGAAACGTGAACAAGCGGCTAAACAAGAATTGTTAAGAATGCAACGTGAACTAAATCATCTTAAGCATAATTCGGAAGATACAATACAGAAGCTCCAAAAAGCAAAATATGAAATCGAAACAGAAGCACGTCAAGTGCAAAATTGTATGACCAGCGAATTGGAAGAATACCGACTTCATACAGACAAGCTCTCAATGGTAATAGTATAAAAATATTAAATTGTGAATATTGTTTTATGTTTTATTATCGTTTTATTTTTAAAGGAATTGCAATTACTTACTGATGAAATGTCTGTTATGAGCAAACAGATTGAAACGTATAAAGAAAAATCAGGTTTATATGATAGTTTAAAATTGCAAAATGAGAAAGACTTGAATGAACTTGATTTCGCTAATTCAAAAATAAAAGATTTGGAAAGTCAAATTGCTTCATATGGGGATTGGAAAGAAATAACAAAGGTTTGTATTATACATTTATACAATATCAATTTATATAATTATTAGTAAAAGTTTTTTAAATTCAAATTAATATGCATTTGATTAAATATTATAGAATAATCATGCGCGTCTATTAAGCATTTCTGAGATGGAAAAAGAAGTCGAATTTTTGCGTGGCAAAAACAAAAGTTTGCATGAGCTGATAGGTAATAAACTATTGCTGGAAGAACAAGTCTATGATTTGAAAACGCGACTTGAGAAGGAAGAAGGAGGCAAAGCTGAGGCTGCCGCACTGCAAGTAGGTTTACTGTTTCCAATATATTATTTAATAAAATATAAAACTGTTTATAATTAAATTTTAGGTTAAATTGAAACACGCAAAAGATGAACTTGCAGAATGGATAAAGATAGCTCAAGATCACTGTCCGACTAATGTTAAACCTAATCCTTTCGCATTACGTGCTAAAATTGAGACACTATTGCAAAATGATATAATAATGGTGTCAGAGAAAAACGCTAAAGTATCGGAAACTAAATCTATAGAATCCGATTTGTTTGAATATAAAGAAGTATGTATTGACTGATATACATATATGTTCAAGTGTACATAAGCTTACATATTTTATTTTAGAAATGCGATATATATGCTAAAAATATTGACGCACTAAATGAAGCTCTAAAGAGACATAAGAATTTTAAAGAACGGATACAAAGGAAGTTGCTCTTAGTTTCAAAGGAACGTGATTGTTATAAACAATTATTGGAAAATTTCGATAAAGATTTAACAAGTAAGTGTTATTTAGTATGTATATGTTTCCGCGCAAAATTTTAAACTAAAATTTCTTTTCATTTTGTATCAAGTGTCCAATACTTGCGTTGAAGTTACAAATCTGGAAACTCAACTACGCAAACGTGTTGAAATGCTAGAAAAAACTCTAGCAGGATACAAGGAGGAATTTTCCAAGTTGGAAACTGAGTTGTCAAATGCTAAAAAGTTACCGCAATCAGAACAACAGCTTGAAAGTGGTGATGCGGGCTATGAATATATGAAAAAAGAACTTGATAACTTACGCCTCGATAATGAAAAACTTCGTAGACGAAAAGAAGAATTGGAACTAGAATTAGAGCATCGCTGTTTAAAGGGTGACTTTAACGTTGATAGATATAAAGTCTTGCATTTGGAAAACAATCCTGCTTCGGAAGCTTATAAATATGCAGATAACTTAATTGAAAAACTACAAGCAGAGGTAACTAAAAGCAAAATGATTAAAATGTATACGTTAAATAAAAGCTATAGGGATGAAAAATTAATATGATTTGTTATTACAATATTAAGATAATATTTAAAAAAAAAATTAATATTTTCATTGAATGTGAAATTTAGAAATGTTTATTGATAAATTAACTTCGATTGAATTATTGAATTTCTTGCGTCTACGTGAAAATAGTCATTTTAAATTACATACAGAATCGGCTTTCATATTTAATATATAACATATGTTAATATCCGTCCAATATTATAAAGTAAAATTTTTTTGATAACAAATTTTGTTGCATTGGTAGTATGATAACTCATAATGATAGAAATAAAACCAACTAATTGGGGTATTTTAAAAAAGTAGAAAGAAATTATTCACAATTTTATTTTTTATAGATTGAACGTCTTAAACGTCGTAATAAAAAACTGGAAGACGATAGTGAAGGTACACAATCCCGTTTGAATGAAACAAATTCAATGACTATGAATATTAAGGAATTGAATCAATTACGTGCAGAACTAGAATCTAACAATCATAAAATGAAAAAATTGAAGGAACAATATAAAGCTGTAAATTCAGAATTTCGTGAAGTTGTTTATATGATGTTTGGCTATAGAGTGGATCGTATTGGAAATAATGGATGCTATACGTTAGTAAAACATTTTTTTTTTAATATTTCTAATTTATTTTTAATATAATAAAAATTTTATTTACTTTTTTTAGAGTTTCCAGCATGTATGCAGAGAGTCCTAATGACTACTTAAATTTTATATTTGATGACACAAGTAATTTAAAATTATTGGAAACTCCTTATTCTATCACTTTAAAAGATTCTATTGAAACACTTTTAATTGGCAATAAATCACTTCCACTGTTTCTTAGCTCTTTAACATTAGAGTTATATGACAGAACAACAGTGACTATTACATAAATCTGAAATAATTTACTTTGAATATTTTATAAATAATTATTTTAATAAATAGATTATCGGATTGAAATCTATCATATATCGATTTAAGTTAATGATAATAAATTATATTTAATAAAAACAAAAAAAATATCTATCAATTGATTTATATTGAAGATATATATATAAGCATAATCCATTCAATCTGTTTTTAATTTTATATTAATATATATATATATATGTATATATTTTATTTATTTAGTTTAGTTGTAATAAGAAATATATAATTAGAATATTAAAAATTCATAGGAATATGTTTGACGGAATATTTAAGTACAGTGAAAGCTCTGTTAAACGGATTCTCTTATTGTGCTCAAAACAGAGAGTACTGTTGAGCGGTTTGCAAAAACAAAATATAGAGGGGTTCGAAAATAAGTTTGCATAGCAAAATTTAAATATAATTTGAGAGCAAAAGATATGAGAACATGCTAAAATAGGTATTGCCACACATTCTCTAAAAAGTGCTTTAAGACAAATAATTGACACAATAAAGAATGCAAGCTAGAAAAAGGAGCTGTTATTAATACTAATCTGTACAGGCAGTTATCTGTTCACCCAATTATGTGCTCAAATAAATAAGTGGGCATGTCTCTTAACCCTTTTAAGAGTTTTCAGTTCTCATAAAAAGTACGCTCTTTTAAACCAATAGTCTAAACGTCTACTTTGCTATGTTACAAATATATTAATAAATTTTATTTATTTTAATATTCTATAATATGAATAATATTTACTAAATATGTTATAATTTATAACAATGTAAAAAAACTTATAATAAAATAAGTTTAATTTACTATTATGTTGTGAATATGGATTAGAGCACTTAAAATAATGATTAAGTAATATAAATAATTTAATTTATTAAAACAATAAAAAAATATAATTAAACAGATTAAATAAGAATAATGCAATATATAATACAATAAGCATGTATATATTAGAAATAATAAAATATTATTTTAATAATGGCAATCTAAAACATATATAAAAAAATATATATGTATTGTAAAGGAAAATATTAATTGTCTATTGCACAAAATTAAAAATTTGAACTTAAGATGTCTAACAATAAAACATTATAAAAAAAATTAATAATAAATTAAAAAAGGCAATTTTTTATATTAAAATATATATAAAGTAGAATTTACAAAAAAATGTAATACATAAAATAATTAATTACTCATGTATATATAACATAAGATAATTTTAAAAATATTTAACTATATAAGATTTAATTTGACTTGAAAACAATTCTATATTTTTAATGTATAAGGCTTATGTGAACCATTTAAAATTATTTAATAATCAAAAGTTTTAATTATTTATATATAGATATATAGATTTTTCCGATTAAAGCTTTTATGAACTGTTTAAAAATATATATAAATAATTAAAATATAAAAATACAACTTCTCAATTCAATAAATATTGAATTTATTTTTGATTTATATAAAATAATGTATTTATATTTTTAAAAATATTTAATTAACCCATAAAATCATACCTTTATGAATTTTTTTCTTGGGATTATATCGCCAACGTTTTCAAGTAATTTTTGACTTATTTAAAAAAAATTTTTATTTTTATTGGATTCATATCACCGATGTTTTAAAATTATTTTCAACTTATTTAAAATAATTAATTTATATTTTTAAAAATTTGTATTTACATTACCTGTCATAACAAGAAAGTCAAAACCACTATGAAAAGGCGGTAATATCCAATAAATAATATAAAAAAAAAATTAAGTTTTACTTTTAATAGTTATATATATGATTAATTTTTAATACACAAAAGTTTTAAACATTTTTTTAATAATAAAATTAGCTTACATTAACGATATCTCGTAATTTTTTATATATTTTTTAATATTCACACAAGTTATATTCATTATTAACATTTTTTTTTCCAATAAAAAAAATCTTATATTAAATATAAGTTTCATTATTTTATATATTTTTAATTTTTCACATAAGATTTACATATTATAATAAAAATATATCTCCATGTTCAAAAATTACACAAAATTATATATAAAATAAAATTAATTAAAAGATATATGTACTTCTTTCTAGCATCTAGATTATATAATATGTAAGCAATAAATTACTTAAGTATAGAAAAATAAATCATTGATTATTTTGAATTAATATTTATTTTGAATTAATGCTAACTGTAGTGATGCTATCTATTATATATAACTGTAAATTAAAGGTAATTATACGTATTATTTTCTATGTCTATAGTAACTTCTATGTTATTCTATGTTATCACAATCAAACAATCCTACCTTCAGTGTGGGTTTCATACTTCATTACGATATATTAGTAGTGGCACTTTAAAAGTATTTAAATGTTTATTTGTTTACATTATATAGATTAGATAGATATAGAACTGCAGCTTTTTTTTTACGTTATATTATAAGTTATTGACATGTATATATGTTTATATAAATATTTTATTATTTTTAATATTTGGTAATGTTTTTTTTAACAAACTTTAACAGTTTTAAACTTCAGATTCATAAATATATAAAAAAACACTAAGCAGGGCAGCGCGTATATGTATAGTTTAACGATGATTACGAGTCTTCGATCGGAAACACAACAACATCATTAAATTGTGAAAAAATCTATTTATAAATTTTATTTCTTAATAGTATTGTTTGTTTATATTCTAAAAAATGTATTCGATTATATTTTCGCGAATAAACGTGCACTTAGAAAATTAGTAAATTAATTGTAACATTTCGTCTACGATAAGCCACGCGTTAATGGTTCAGGAGATGCTGATGTGCTTATATGGCACAACTAAATGACTTATTAAAAATATATAATACACATATGTATGTACATATGTCTACGTGCAGATACTTTGGGTCACTTATACAATCTGCAGACGCAACGGCACTTACAACAATAACAACAATATTTCTCATACAATATCTAATAATTGTATTTGTTGCTTATTCTTTATTGTTGAGTTTTTTTTTCATAGCATTATTTTTATAGCATTAAATTCTTTTTCAAATGAATTACACATATATGTACGAAGAGTTTGTTGTCATCTCGGTACTATGCCCGCTCTCATATGAAACCGTGCAACGTATATTGTACTATATCGTACGTACATAACGACTGTCGCGGCGGCAGCGGTCAATAATCAGCACTTTACTTTCTGATGGATGAAGTATGCGGCGATGACGCGTGATTAAACAGCAATTTGTTGGCAGCAATAACAGCAACAACGGATACAGCTGATATTGTTTGGCATAGAATCTTATGGGCAAGAATTAAAATTTATTTTGGCATTGTTTGCTTTACGATAAGTTAGCAGTTAAAGATGCTTAAATTCAAATTTATCACTGTCGGATTACTCATAGCAAAGGCCATGAGATAAAATTAACTTGTTACCAAATACGCCGTACAAAGTTTGAGTTAAGTTAGAATTTTTTGAAAGATACTTTAGGCAAAAGATATTATTATTATTAAAAGTTTAGACGTGAAATCACCCAACAGCCGGTACTACGGCCAGAAGAGTTCTATTGAACCAGTTTCACTATTGATTACACAAAGACCCTTGAAGTTTTGTAAATAAAGTCCAGAACTAAATCTAGAGAAGAGTTCTTAATCTGTTCTGGTGACAGAAGTTCCATATGAAACAAGTTTCTTCAGAGCGTTATTATTATTAAAAGTTTAGACGTGAAATCACCCAACAGCCGGTACTACGGCCAGAAGAGTTCTATTGAACCAGTTTCACTATTGATTACACAAAGACCCTTGAAGTTTTGTAAATAAAGTCCAGAATTAAATCTAGAGAAGAGTTCTTAATCTGTTCTGGTGACAGAAGTTCCATATGAAACAAGTTTCTTAAGAGCATTATTATTATTAAAAGTTTAGACATGAAATCGCCCAACAGCCGGTACTGCGGTCAGAAAAGTCCTATTAAATCAATATCACTATTGATTGCACAAAGCCCCTTAAAACTTTGTAAATAAAGTCCAGAACTAAATGTAGAGAAATGTTCTTAATCAGTTCTGGTAACAGAAGTTCAATATGAAACAAGTTTCTTCTGAGCATTATTAAAACTGGACAGTCATAAAGAATATGCATAGTAGTTTCCTCATCTTCGAGGCATAATCTGCATTCCGAATTATAGTTTATTCAGATAATTGTAGTTTATGAAGATATTTCAGTCCATAATGACCTGTAAAGAAATTTAAGGATGTCTTTGTAGGAGTACGGTGTTATCAGTGCTTTACTTTTTCTAAGTCCTGAGAAGTCTTTCCAGTACTCCAGCCGCATGAGATTTTCCCTTTCATTGATAATTTGTTTTTTATTGGCCCAGTTTATCCCATAAAAGTGTTGAGGGCCTGTATTTCAGTTTTTGATGCAGTTCTAGTTAGCTCATCAGCTTGTTCATTTCCCAAAACTCCCCTGTGACCCGGAACCCAGTAAAGGCTAACCTTATTCCGAGTTGCAAGTAACTGTAGGAGTTCATAACTCTCAAGGCAAAAGATATTACCTTGGGATCAGTAAGCAATTAAGAAGTAAACAAAAAAAAATTCTATAAAAACCACACTACGCTGCACAGGTTTCTATATGTCCTGCTGTTGTCCTCCTGTCCTGCTGGTGTAGAAACTTGTATAATGACAAGACAGTACGAGTTTAATATAATATTAATTGTAGTTTTCATAACTAATGTAAAAGTCCGAAATACTAGTTGTCGTTAAGTGACGCATCTAAAATCCAATATTTTACCTGGTTATCTAAAAAGTAAGCAACATCCACATATACTACAAGGGGAAAAGTTTACAATATCGAATTTTATGAAAATTTTTCATTAAAGTACGATACTCACGAAAGCGAAATAAGCGGAATAATGATGTCATTATCAGGATAAAGACGGTAAAAACTCAACGCCTCATTGTTATTCACTGCTCCGGTAATAAGTAGGTGTTTGATTGAACACTCCGAAGTAGAAAGTGTGTTAGAAGACAACCGCATTTTTGATGAAATAATATTGTAATGAATGATCTTCGAGCACTCGGTGTTATACAGACTACAGTTCGAGCGAGCTGATAGAGCCTGCGGATCGTCGACAAGAACGAGATACTTCTATT